TTCCTGAGAAAGTAAAAGCAAAAGCCTCGGAGAAAGGTAGCTTCTCTCTTGTGTAATGTTCCCAGGGCCTTTCCACATAGGGGCCTGATCTGATGGGGTGACCTGAAGGGGGAAGAATCACAGAAGTGCAGTCTGCAGGAAGGGGCAGCAGGGACCATGGGGAGCTGATTGTACGATGTCTCCATTCCTGTTACAACGCACAGCCCTTGTTAAAATGTGCCCAGTGTGGCTTTAGGGTGAGTGAGAAAATCTCAGTCCTGTAATATTTAAAACACTGCTTTGATTCAGTCCCTTTTCAGGAAAGCTGTCACAGCCCATTTATTATTTTTTAAAGGAATAAAAGGAAACATGATGCTTTCCCTGGAGGCCAGTTACGGAGCAGTCAAAAGTTAATTATACTAGATGTGTGGTTAGAGTCATACTACTTAGAATCCAATTGTCTGCTGCCTGGATGATAGCTGCTTCCACCATCATCATCGTCATCAGCATCATTCAAGCCCCAATCTAGCCCAACCATAAGGGGCGTGCCCCTCCCTCATGTTACAAAGGATCCTGGAACTGGTTGAACAAGGATGCTGATGCGTCTTGGTTGACAACCTCTCCCGGTACCCCGCAACCACGGCCAGCCACAGTTTGTCCGGTCTCGTCTTTGCTTCATCCTCTCCTCTCCAAATTAGACCCAGGGCACTGCCTTTCACTGTAAAAGGCCCAATAAAGCTTTTCCTAACAATAACGTACCATCTCTACTTTTAGCAACAGAAAGCACCAGGAGGACCTTGGGTTTTGTACATTCGCCTTCAGCCTCCCCAGCTGGACTCTAAGGCATAGCTGTCCTCCCTCCCTCCTTCCCCCAACAGTCTCTAAACTCAAGTGGGACTGCGGAGTCGCTGACCTGCTGTGTGCAGAACAAACCTTGAGTCCCAGTTGTATCCCTCGTTCTATCATGATTTACCAGTACTGGTTCTCCAAGGAGCTCGTGGTTTTGGAGGGCAGGGTCTGTGCTTTATACATTCTGTCCCCTTCCAGCACTCAGCACTTGGTAGATGCTCATTATACAGTTCCTGACTTACTCACATACGTTTCAGAAGAACCTGTAGGGACACGGGCCTGTGAGTCTCCAGGCTGCTCTTCAGTGCCCTGGGCCTTACTCCCTAGAATAGGGCCTGGTTGGAGGGTAGGATACACGCCCTGGAATAACCTGGAACAACACAGAACAGGTTGGAGCAGGTACCAGCTGAGGGTTGAGCTGGACCCTTCCATCCATGTCTACTCCACACCTAGTGTTGCCAGTGCAGTTTCCCAATCCACGCAAGGGGCTGCGTTTGGAACATCACTGAGGTCTTGCCCTGGCAAAGGCTTCGAGTCCATAGGACGGTGTGGGGCAGAGCACTCTTCCACTGAAACACGGAGCCAGGAATGTCTACCCCGATCGGGTGGCACTGGTGTGGGAGAGCTCTGCTCCGTCCACAGCGTGTGTAGGAAGGAAGAGTGGAGGGAATGGCTAAGGAAGGCTCGCCCCTCAGGGCTTCCCTAGGCTTTTCCTGCCTAGGAAGCCCTGCCCTAACCCAGCAGGCACCCGGGCCCTCCCACCAGACGATGTTAACCAGCTGGCAGGCTACCCCAGGCTGAAGAGTGCCCAGAGCCCTGGCTTGGTGGTAGCATGTCACCCAGGTCAGTCCCAGACCAGGCTGGGACAGCTTCTGGGACAGCCTGTGCAGCTGTGTCCAGAGACAGGAATGGCTGAAAAGTTAGGGGACATCTCCCCTTCCCTTTTCCAGCCAGAAGCCATGGGTTGAGCTTCTCAGGGTAGGGCTGAAGGAGGTGGGAAGGACACCTAATGAGTTGTGTCCACCGGCTCATCCCCTGGCACCAGTACTATCCTGGGAGGCTTATTACCGAGTCCAAGTTCATGCTCTCACTGCACAACAGGCCAATAAATCAAGAGACAAGTTGTTAGGGAAAGGAATAGTGACTTTATTCAGAAAGCCAGCAAACCGAGGAGGTGGTGGACCAGTGTCCCAAAGAATCATCTCACCCAAGCTAGAATTCAGGCTTCTTTTATACTCAGAGGGGAGGGGGTAAGGTCCTGGTTCTGGTCAGCCTCCCAAAGGGATGTGTTAATTTCTTCCTTTCTGTAGCCATTCACAGGAGGGCCTGGTCAGGATGCTTCCTGTGAGCTAAACATAGGCATTGTAGCTTAATGCTCATTACCTGGGAGGCAGGGTTCCCAGCGATGGGCCATTATGTATAATTTAAGATTCTAGGCAACATCCCTTTCGTGATTAACTTGTAATAAAATACAAAGGTTCTTCCCTATTAGAGGCTCACGATTGGTCCTCTACCCCTTCGTCTCATGTGTTCGGGTGCGCACGTGCGCACACACACACACATACACACACACACACAAACACACACAGGGTGGGCACATGATCTGAGCCCAGCCATCCTCTCCCAGAAAATGTGAAATTGGGAGGGAAGGGACAGCTCCCTCTGTGGCCTGGATTGTAAAGATGTATCTGAGGCCGGGCCCCAGCTCCATTGAGGCATCTGGGAGGACAAGGCCAGCCCCCAGAGGCCAGGACTCAGATGGAGCCACTGAGAGCTAGAGGCCGGGCTCCCAGCTGCCTCCTTAGATCCTATGAGCATATCTTGTCTTCTAAATCTTTTGTGCTTAAGCTAGTGAAAGTTCGGTTCTGAAGGAGCCGCAGATGAACACAAATTGCTTCTCCAGGAAGCAGGAGGGCCAGCTTTGCCCCTCTCCTGCCACCTAATGGACATGGCACATTGGTTGAGGGCAAATCCCAGCTCTGCCTTATCAGGCAGACTACTTAATGTCTGTGCCTCAGTTTCCTCATCTGTAAAATGGGGATAATAAAACACCTGTTTCATGAGGTTGTTGTGAGGATCACATGAGTCAATAACCTAGTAAACCCTAAATAAGGCTCAGGTGAAGGCATGAGGCAGCCTCATGAAATGAAGCTTCATTTATCCACAGTGGTGAGATTTGGGCCACCACGGGCCCATGTGCGCTCAGGCTGTCCTACAGTGTTCCTTAGCAAGACAAATACTCAAGCCAATGCACTGTACCTTAATTTGCTGCCTTGCTTCAGGCCTTATCTTCTCTCGCCAGGACTGCTGCTACAAGCTCATGCAATACTTATCCGGCAGATGTGTTTTGACCACCTGTCGCCAGGATCGGGGAGGAGTGTTATGGGAAACACAGAAGAGGAGGACCTGAGGAGCTGAGCTCAGGGAAACAGGCATCGACAGTGTCTTGAGCACCAGGAAGGCGGAAGCACTGGGCTTCAGCAAAGTCACAGAGGGGCACCTGCCCCTCCCAGACCTTGGGCGCTCTCTGAGCAAGTGGTGTCTAAGCTCAGGAAAATTTAGGAGTTAGCCAGGTGAAGGAGGAGGAAACTGTTCCCAGACAGAAGGAATACCGTGAATTTTGCCCATGACTGGTCTTCCTCACTCGGGTCTCCTCTCTGCCTGGCGCCCCTCCCACCAGCTCTCTCAGAGCCAGAAGCCTCTTTCAGAAAGGAAACTCGATACTGTCACTCCACCGTTTAAAACCTATCAGTGGGGCTTCTGGAAATAAAATTCTAACTCCTTGGCTCTTCTGTCCCTGCCCACGAGGTGAACCTCTTCTCTCAGATGGCTCACTCCTCCAGGAGCCCTACCTGACCCTGCCAGAGCGCCTATTACCAACCACTCCAGGACGCGAATGGACGTGAGAATAATTTGTATTCAACGAGCTAGAAATTAGAACAATTTGAAACAGATTTTTAAAAGTAAGAACTTTGCAAAAGTGTAAGAGCTAAAACAAGGCATGAAAACCGTGAGACAACAGGAAAGCGCCCACCCATTCCACTGCAGTCTCCCCGGGGCGCCCCGGGGGTTGGTGGCTGCACGGCTCACCGCCCGGCCCCGCTCACTCCCGACACTGCGGGCTGTGGGGCGGCCGCTCCTCGGCATCCTGAGCACTGTGAAGGGCACACAGCGGGCGCCCCGTCCACCGAGGCAGTCAGTACCGGCCTAGCAGCCCCTGCAGGCCACGCTGCGCGGGTACCCTCTCAGCCGCAGGCCCAGACTTAGCACACGGCCCAACGAATGGAGGCAGGAGCACCGCGCGGAGCACCCGGCCCTTCGGCGCGCAGGCTCGGAAACTGACTGGGCGACCTCGCCCCCGGTCGCCGCTGGCCAATCAGCGCGGGCCGCTAGATCCGTGCCCGCCCCAGGCCGCGCCCGCAGCCAATGAGAGAGGCCCGAGAGGCCGGCCGCAGAGCCCAGCCCCGGCCGGCGCGCTCTGCTGTTCGCCTGTCAGGCTCCAAATAAAGTTCTTCGGGGCTTTGAATTTTTTTTTTAAAGCGCCCTCTGCAGTCTCGGCCGCCGCGGGCGAGAGCGGCCGAGTCCC